ACTCCCTATAAGCTGTCTGAGAGTCACTTTTCGCTAAAATTGATGGTTTTCCCTGCAAAGTGAAAAAACTGTTTTCCTCACTTATTTGTTTAAATAGAAAAGTTAGCTAATAAAAGTTTTTGACTCACGAGACGAGAGATGTCTTGTATTATGTTCCTTTAGACAATTTTACAATAATCTAGCGGATAGAACTTTTTTCGAGTAAAAATTTAATTTGCTTGGTCTACTATGTATTTTGAAATATATGCGAGGGGGTCTTGACCTCATGAATTTTGAGAGATCCCGCTGACGCGTCTGTGGCCGATGCACGTACAATGAATTAATTATAAATAATGTTACTTCCTTAGTTCAGAGCGACCGAGTGTTAAAACTTGAACTGGTGACGGAAAAGAGAGTTTAAAATGTTAAATTCTACATGTTGTGATAAATTCATCAAGAAAAACTGTTTTTATACTCCTTTGGTCTATTACAAAATCAATTTATTCTCTTATGCACAAGACGAACATTAAAATTTCAATATAAACTTCTACCTTAGCGGCACTGGCGGCTGGCGCGGGGAGGTTCTGGGTCGCCGCCCCCTCCAGAAATTTTGATAGTAAAAAAATTTAGTCAATTTTAATGTCAAAATGAATTCAATCAATGAATTCATTTTGACATTATTCTAAATCTTGCAAAGTCGCCTTGGTTGTTTGGATTTTCTCATTTCTAATAGTTGTTTTACATTGACAATTTATTGATGAATTAATTCATGAAGTCGCTTCATCAAGAAATTGGACAAGTGTAATGCACCAAATCTGCTGTCAAATAACTTCATGAATTTATTCATCAAGTTCTTGACGAATTAGAGCATGATCTAATTTTCGTCAATTTCTTTGTGAAGTTCGGAAGTACCAACCCAACAGATTTCCACCCTCAGATCAGTAATGAGGTTATGTTATTGGAATATGTAAATAATTGTGTGGCGTCGTACTAGTTTTGCATTGTGTTTACTGATTTGTTACTTGCAAACACTAATTTATATATGTGTCAAAACGGTACCGCTGTTGTATCACTACAATTATGAGTGGAAAGGTGACATTTTTGAAATTTATTTGCTTCTTAACGGCTATACACCTACAAAGTCAAACGTTTTTACAAGAGAACAAGTCAACGATTTTCTAGTTCAGGCACCCGATAACACATATTTGCTGATAAAGGTAGTGGCGGTCTTGGGCATTGCAGCAGCATGCCGTTCTGATGAGTTATGCAAACTTACTTTGAATAACGTCAATTTCAAAAATTAAAAATTTCGATGACGTAGTTACAATTCCAGATTCTAAAAATGGTTCCAGTCGGCAAGAATACCCTTTCTATGATTCCTAATAAGATTGCAAAATTTTTGAAACTACAACATCTTGAAACACATACAGGCCATTCATTCCGAAGAACATCGGCAACGTTACTGGCTAATACAGAAGTTGATGTATGAGCAATCAAGAGACATGGTGGGTGGAAATCAGCCACAATTGCAGAAAGTTATGTTGCTGACAGTTTAAGTAACAAAAATGAAATAGCCAACAGGATTCACTTCTACGGTAAAATCCACTTACCTCCTTAAAAACAATGTATTAGTAGTCTATTTACTATAGTGGGAGCAGATAAACGTAATTTGTTTAAGCGTGGTGTATTTTTTTTTAATTACATATTGTTCTTTGTGTGTTTTTTAAAAGATTGCAAACATAGACTAACAGCCCTTGCAATTATATCTACTGAAAAATCAATGGTGCAAGAAACACCAAACTGTAATGAAAAAGTAATTGAAAATTTTATTTCGGAAAAAAGAAGAAGAATGGACTTCCACTATAAAAAATAATGTTGAGCATATTTTTTCCCTAAAATTCAATAGTACTTAAAATAGAACTACCCTTGTGTTTTTTTTTTCAATACTTTGTACCTCCTTGGTATGGAAGTCAAGAACCGCCACTGCTTACTGCCTACATTAAGGAATAAACCTATAATTCAAAATAAAAACAATAATAGAGAGATAGACGTTCGCTAGAGTCAGTTTTAAAATCAGGGTCCATTCTTAATTTTCATGCGAAGTTTATTTCTCAAAAAGTACCGATATAGCAAGTCTTTTCACATCTTATAAGATATATGCCATACAAGAAAATGTCGTTTACCATATTTGCATCACGTTTCGAGCAGTTTCCTTTCCCAAAAAGTATCATTTTGAGTCCCACACTCAAGGTTAAATATAATAAAGATATGAGTATACACGACAGTTGACTTTTTAATATGCCTAGATCTCTATCTAGCGGTTTAACAAAAAGTTTTGAAGAATGTTACGGCGGCAGGCGTCCGAAAAGAGCAACACTTATACGGTAAACGGCAGTTTTTAATTCACAGCCTGTTTTCGTAATAAGGTCAGTCACATGTTAGATATCATCTACACATTACGTACGTGCTCAAGATGATACCGATACAACTTTTGCTGCTCTTATCTGCTTAGCTAATAAAAGGTAGTTTACTATTTGGGCAAACTTTACAAAATATTACACGGTTGTACTGTGCGGACGGATCCAGTGGCGTACCTTGACACCATTAACACTTAAAAGGTTGTTTTGCAATTTAATGCTGTGATATGACATAGGAGAAAAAATTTTGGCGTCATTGGAATGAAGTAAGATATCCAAAACGCCCAAGTTCTTCGCTATAACATTGGCATACAATGCAAACAAAAGGGGACCACAGATAGAGCCCTGTGGCACTCCAGAAACGGCCTGAATTTTAACAGACTTGAAACCATGATACTCCACAAACTATCTTCCGTTTAAATAAGTATAAAAAAAACAATGAAAAGATAAACCAGCATGCTGAAGTTTATTCAGTAAAATAGCATGATCAAGTCTACCGAATGACATTTAAATTTTCAAATACGAGCTGAGTCATATGAATAAAATTTGTTACCATGAATTAATCCTCAAAAAACCAGACACATATTTTCTCGTCAATTGTAATAGGCACTTCTTTCATTTGATCATAACTACTTTCGTAACTGAAAAT